TACTCCTACTCCTTCTACTCCTACTAATCCTCCTACTCCTCCTACTACTAATCCTCCTACTCCTCCTACTCCTACTCCTCCTACTCTTATTGCTGCTGCTACTGCTGCTGCTACTACTGCTGCCATACTTTGCGTGTTTCTTCCATGTTCCCTGGCCTGTCACCTGAATGTAGGGTCACTCGTGGTGTTCTGTTGCCGTGCTCGCAAGGACGGTGATATGGTTGTCGTGACGGGGGTGGTTCTGATAACAATATGGTTGGTTGTGATGTAGGTCCAGGTAGGTACTGTTTTTGGTTTGTGATGGCGACATTAGGTTCCGTCGCGTGCGAGGTACAGCTGATTCTTGCTGATGTTCGAGTTTCAGGGAGTGACCAGTGCCATAGTCAGAACGCTGTATGTAGATGTGTTAGACATAGACAGCTACATTTTTTGACAAATACAGGCCCCAGGGTGAGCCTTTCTGTAGACTTCAGCTTCCTCAGGTGGACGGCCCGAGCAGGGCTCTTTATCCTTTCGGCCACGGCCTTACCTACAGTCAGGCCCCTGGGACTGCGGGCTGTTGAGCTGCTGAGCTGGGTTGTTTTTTCATGTCGGTTTAAAGGTGTTGATGCTTGGCCTGGATCCCTTGAAACTTGAAATTGCTGTGTTCGTGCCGGGCTTCTTTTGTATGCTTGTTTTCGATGTGGAGCAACTCCTGATTAAGCCATGCGCTCTGAATCGCTGGTGTTTGCATTGGGGCTCATTTGCGTGGCGCTGGCACAGAGTGGTTTGTCAGCAGTACGGTCATTATGTCTTGGAGTTTGCGGGCTATGTCCAGGTGGGTCTAAACCTTTCTTCGAGAAACTATAACTGAGCTCTAACTCAACGTAAACCTGAACCCCAAGAACATCGCAGCCCCAAATACTTGCAACCTCTAATTCTCCTTCTACCTCCGAGCGACCCCTACAGTAACGCAAATTCGTTAGACCATGCGCACTTGACACCATATGGGTAATTCTCTAAATTAGGGTTTTTTCTTAGGTCCCCAATATATAGTACGGCACCCTTATCAAAAGGACCCTAAAAGGGACCCTAATTTTGAAAACTACCCAAATGCTGTTGCAACAGGTGATCTATGAAGATCTTTGGCTCAGCAGCGACAAGCTGGATTGGGATGGCGAGCTCTGGATCCTTGCCGCAATTACACGAGATGCAATGTCCCCAACCCCCCCAACCCTCAACCCCAAAGCCCCTTCGTTCCCGAACGCCGGAGTCTGAGGATTCAATGCACCGTGACGAACGCTGGGCCGAGGGCAGTGCAGGAGGTTGTGCAGCTGCACCCCGCTTTGCAATGTCTTTTTTTGACAATGAGTGTCGTCGTCGTTGTGGTTGTCGAAAGTAGAAATATTTCAGAAGCAGTCGTCGTCGTAGTAGTAGCAGTAGTCGTCGTCGTAGTCGTAGTAGTCGTAGTAGTCGTAGTAGTCGTAGTAGTCGTAGTCGTAGTCTTAGTCTTAGTCTTAGTCGTAGTCGTAGTGGTAGTCGTCGCAGTGGTAGCGGTAGTGGTGGTGGTAGTGGTAGTGGTAGTGGTAGTGGTAGTCGTAGTCGTAGTGGTAGTGGTAGTGGTAGTGGTAGTGGTAGTGGTAGTGGTAGTGGTTGTGGTTGTGGTTGTGGTAGTGGTAGTGGTAGTAGTAGTAGTAGTAGTAGTAGTAGTAGTAGTAGTGGTAGTCGTAGTAGTAGTAGTAGCAGTAGTAGTAGTAGTAGTAGCAGTAGTAGTAGTAGTAGTAGTAGTAGTAGTAGTAGTAGTAGTAGTGCTGCTGCTGCTGCTGCCGCTGCTGCTGCTGATGCTGCTGCTGCTACTACTACCACCACGACGACTACCACGACTACTGCTACTGCTGCTACTACGACGA